TTAAGCATTCCTGCTGTGTTAGAACACTTGACCAGGTTAGATATTGTGTTAGTGTGATAATTAAACATTCTACTAGTAAAGAACACTTAAACATGTTATGCATTGTGTTACTGTGCATATCTACTCAGATAGAACACTTGACCATGATATGTGTTGTTTTACTGTTATAATTAAGCATTAGTACTGGGGTAAAATACTCGACCACATTATGTATTGTGTTACCGTACTAATTAACAATTCTTCTGGTATACCATGGAAATTGATCGCTTTCCAGAATAGTGTATAATTATCATTTCCGACGCAAAGTATTCATAGGGATCTATAACTTCTAGAACAGGGATATCATTTGTACTTGCCCCCCTCCAGTAGCACAGCAGCATGTCTGCGGACTTACAACGCTATAAATCGGGTTTCGATATCTGTGGTGGGCAGAGCACAGATAGACCATTGTGTAGCTTTGTGCTTAACTTCAAATAACAACATAACATTTGTACTTAATGGCATTGGAAAACAAGGGAATGCAGATCAACTTGTGGAACAAGACCATCCAGAGAGAAACCTGAAATAAATCATATCCCAGCCGTAGTAAGGAAAGTGCATCATATTGTAGCAGATGATTCTCAAAAACACAAAAATCAGTGGCAGAAGCCGTCCACGTGGCCCTAGCGACAATTCTCAAATTAATCACAAAGGATCTCCGCCTGGAAAACAACAAAAGTCACGAGTATAGAAGTTGCTTCCACGACATATCCATTCAACCGTTGCAAACCATAACGATGAAGTCGCATAAGGATTTTTATGCGTTCGTACTGTTGTTTTACAATGGAAACTACAATGCAGGGCTATTGTCAGATAGAGCATGACTAGACTGGCGATATATACTGTAACATAGACTGGCGATATATATACTGTAGCAACGTGGTGAGGCTCAAAAATCGTTGTACTCTTATGTACAAACGACCATATATGATTGTACATACTGTAACGACGTGGTGAGGCTCAAAAATCGTTGTACTGTTATGTAATGTAACCTCTGTACAAACGACCATATATGATTGTATATACTGTAACACGTGGTCAGGCTCAAACATCGTTGTACTGTTATGTAATGTAACCTCTTTACAAACTACCATATATGATTGTATATACTGCAACAACGTGGTGAGGCTCAAACATCGTTGTACTGTTATGTAATGTAACCTCTGTACAAACTACCATATATGATTGTATATACTGTAACAACGTGGTCAGGCTCAAACATCGTTGTACTGTTATGTAATGTAACCTCTTTACAAACTACCATATATGATTGTCGGGTCATGCAAGTTCTTTTTGCATTAATTTTAATTGTTAACTATAGGATGCTGTTATACGTGTTTTATTTTGATAATGAACCATATTAAGGAAATAACGTTATATGTTCGTTGACTTTAGATAATAGCTATATTACGGATAGGACTTTATAAGCTCGTTTAATTCTTATAATAAACTTTATTAAGGATAGGACGTTATAAGCTTGACTTTTGATATTAAATCATATTAAGGATAGGACGTTATAAGCTTGACTTTTGATAATAAATCATATTAAGGTTAGTATGTTATAAGCTTGACTTTTGATAATAAATCATATTATGGATAGGACGTTATAAGCTTAACTTTTGATAACAAGTCATATTAAGGATAGGATATTATAAGGTTGTTTAATTCTTATAATAAACCGTATTGAGGATAGGACGTTATAAGTTTGACTTTTAATAATAAACCATATTAAGGATTGGATATTATATAATTGTTTGATTTTGAAAATAAGCCACAGTAAGGATTAAATGTTATAAGTTTGTTGTCTTTTGGCAAATAATTATAGTAAGAGATAGTAAACAGTATCTAATAACGAATAAACATTTATATAAAAAACAACTAAAAACAAAACAAGAGGGAATCTTCAATAGCCGCGGCACTTGAAATTATTTCAAGCAGGGTTAGAGTAAATTAATCTATGAGACTTTTGTTTCCGTTTTCATTAGCTATATTTTTGTGCTCCAGCAATACCAAGGGTGAGGCGCACGTATACCCGATTCAATTTTATTATTCATCAGGATATCTACCAGCCTACGCTCAAATTGAAATTCTTTTAGGAAGCATTAGTATAAGTTAATGAATGAGACATTGGGCGTGGTTAAATACACCAATCGAAAGGGTTTCACCTCCTGAGTCCAAAACTGTAACTGGATCAATGAGCTATGAGCTAAAAGTTTATACTTGAAAAAAAAATTGAAAAAAAATGACTCAGAGCCGTTTTATGAGCCGCTCGGTCGCGGCTAAAAATAAATCGGTTGTTATCTTTTAATTATGTATATGTAGAGTAAAATATATAGGCGTGAAAATCAAAATAAGTAACATTGCTGATGAAGAGAATCAACAACACTATAGAAACAAGTTTAACTTACTTTTCGTAAGATATGCTATGCCCAGTATAAAAATGTTCACATACAGTTGATCACCAAGGAGTCAGGGGTGACTAACGTTGTTGAAGGGTAAGGGAGGGTCAAAAAATCATGTTGAAACTTTACTTTAGGTCACTGATAAGAATTTCTCTTTTAGACCGCGGGTATTTGTTTGTTTGTTTTAGAGGAAAGTCACATTGAGCCATCTGCTGTGTCCACCGCGGGGAATCGAACCCTAGGTTTTAGCGTTGCAAGTCCATAGACTTATCGCGTCCCCCCATGAGATAACCACGAGTAAGAACATTTCTTTTAGACCACGGGTAGGAACCTGTCGTTTAGCGGTCTGGCATGGCTTGGTGGTTAGGGCTGTCGACTCACAATCTGCGTACCGCAAGTCTGAATCCTTCAATTTGGAACAGATAGCCCTCGAGTAGGTTTGCGCGAAATACTACTCGAGGGCTTTCGTTTAGGACACGGGTAACAATCTCTCTTTATTACCTCAATATTTTACTATCACACCTTCTTTAGGAGCTATCCATAACTACAAGTTGAAATTAGCCAGTTAAAACTAAATTGGATACATTGTAGAGGTATAGTTTATTATTTTATTTTCATTGATAGAAATCTAATCAAAAACACCTTAGGTGTGAAAAAAAGGTGCGACCAAAAAATTGAGTGTGCGACTTAAAGGAATGAAATAAAAATTGGCAGCCACACTGGTAGCTCCACTTAGAGCATTGATAAGAATTTTACAGCAAACATTCATTAATTAGTTACCCAGGCCGGTGTTTTTTTCTTTTGTTGTTCAACTTGGGGCATGATGATGGGTAAAACAAAATCACTATACACTACAGTGAGTCTTCAGTTTGCGTTAAAAAATGGTTAAGACTAAGATTTCAAAGTAAGTACAAACATGAGTCCAAAATATTTGTCATGTAAAAAGCTTTGGTATTATCTGGTAGTTTCAACTAGCTAATCATGAGCTGTACAATTTTGTCAATCTAACACAGTTGTTAGTGCTGCTATTAAAAAGCAGAAGAAATGTACCCTAACACAGTTGTTAGTGCTGCTATTAGAAATCAGAGGAAATGTACCCTAACACAGTTGTTAGTGCTGCTATTAAAAATCAGAAGAAATGTACCCTAACACAGTTGTTAGTGCTGCTATGAGAAATAAGAGGAAATGTACCCTAACACAGTTGTTAGTGCTGCTATAGAAATCAGAAGAAATGTACCCTAACACAATTGTTAGCGCTGCTATTAAAATCAGACGAAATGTACCCTAACACAGTTGTTAGCGCTGCTATTAAAATCAGACGAAATGTACCTTAACACAGTTGTTAGTGCTGCTACTTGTTGAGAGTTTTACGTCGCAAAGCACCAGGGGTACCTGAGCCAATATTTAACGTGTAAATGTGCATTTATATCATATTTACATACTAAAAAAATGGCATTTTACAGCAATTTGTTCAACCTTTGAACAGTAATTGAAATTAAGAATATTTGATCAAAAATAGGCTAAGGAAACAGATCAGAACTAAAGCAAGTAACATATGTATTAATGAAGACTAGATTTCTTGTTACGTCAAATAAATTATTCCTCTTCGTAGAAGCGACATTTTTGGTCTAATGAGAGCCTATATACCGCATAATTGTGGCTCTCAGCTGGTTTTGGTTTTGATACTCTCCTTCAGCTGTGTTTTTATATGCTCTAATGAGAGCCTATATACCGCAGAATTGTGGCTCTCAGCTGGTTTTGGTTTTGATACTCTCCTTCAGCTGTGTTTTTATATGCTCTAATAAGAGCCTGTATACTGCGGAATTGTAACTCTCAGTTGTTTTTGGTTTGGGTAACCTCCACCTGCTGTGTTATTATATGTATTACATACGCGTACACTAATTACTATGATCCGAAAGTCCTTCATGGGTCAGCAGTAAATTCACTAACTTACAACGCTAAAATTCGGGTTTCGATTCCCCGCGGTGGACAGAGTGCAGATTACCAATTGTGTGGCTTTGCGCTGAAAGAAATCAACAAAATCCGAGAACATGTTTTAAACCTCGTTCAATGTCAAAAGTCAATCAAATAATTTGTCGTTTCAGTTATTTTTTTATGTTTGGAAAATGCTACATAAATACAACAACTCCGGATGTTTGCAAGTTTACATTTTCGCATATTATTTTCTATAGAAATATTGTAAACCACACAATAAAGCTATAGCGGAAATGCTGTCACCCACTACCTCTGTACAACTGCTACACGTACTTCAACTCAAGCATGGTTAATCAAGTAATGTTCTTACTAAACACACATACAAATCACTGACATTCAAATTGTATACTTCTAGAACTCTTCTACTTACTCTGCCCTTTTTTTTAAAAAAAAAAGTATAAAGAGCACGTATTTTGTTCATGTTCTTGCTAATGGGAGGGTAAAGCTCTTACATTTTTGTATTTTTTTTGCTTACTATCAAACCAGTTTTCTCGCCGCGAACCGCTTGGGGGCGGTACTATCGGAAAGAAGAGGCGGAGAAGGAGAGAAGCGCCCACGATCCTCGAGTGCTTCTCAGGTGTGTAAGAAAAGAGGTTGCTTAGACTGGCCAGGTTGGCAGGCGGGAAGCAGGGAATGGCTGGGTCGGGAGAACGTGGTAAGTGACGAGATAACTGTACAATGTTTCGGTAAATCCGCACTAGCGTCTCCGACAGTGACGATATTCGGTATACACGATTTAATGATTGTGGCCGCATAAAAGGTTACGTGTACAAACACACACATATATATATATTCATATTTTGTAATCTATTCATATAGTAAGTACTGAAGTCTTTTGTAAAAGGATTAGTTTTATCCGTTTTTTAAATTTTATTTCAAGTATTATAACAACAAAAGAATTATTTTAGTTGTAAGTTAATGTTAGCAGAGGCAGTGTTTATCTTTACGTTTAAATCAAAATATTTATAAAGAACAACAAGAACAAAACAGATTGTTGATCCACAAAGTAATTAGCACATACCAGTTATTTATTTTGGATATTATCTGTAATGAGCTCATTGTGTAGCTTTGTGTTATAACAACAGCGACTTCACCCGTGTTAAGGTACAGCGCAACGTACAAAAATTATTCAAGGGTCAATTTTTCCATGATCCAAAATTCACTTATTTCCAGTTGATATGTAGCGTCCGAAATATTGGACGTTCGTTTAAGAAAACCACATGAACCTGAAAACCTCGTGTGTATGTTAAGGTTGTAAAAAGATCGTATGCAAGATATCTTTCACTCGTATTTGTATATTATTAATGAAGCAATAGATGTGCACGCATTAGTTGACTTATTGGAAGAGACACAATCGTAGTATTTGGTTTTTCTTCACTTGTGAAATCTAGCATGCCACATCACTCAACCACTTATAGTGGGACTAATAATCTTAAGATTAGGTTTCTGGTTTCAGAGCGTTAGAATTTTGCAATCTCTAGGTCTGAATTCTGGTTTAACAGTGCTAAATTTGGCAAGCTCTGGGTTGGGTTTCTGGTTTCACAGTGGAAACTTGCAAGCTCTGGATTGGATTTCTGGTTTCAGTGCAAGGACTTACAAACCCCAGGATCGGTTTCTGGTTTTACGAAGCAAAAACTTACAAGTTCCGAGTTTGATCCCTCTTTTCAATGTGTAAGGACTTGTAAGCAACAGGTTTGATGTCTCGTTTCACAATGGAGACACTCACAAGCTCGTATTGGGACCATAGTTTCACAGTGCTAAAATCTGCAAGCTCTGGGTTGGGTTCCTAGTTTCACAGCATATGCTCGTATTGGGACCATAGTTTCACACTTTTAAGATTTGCCAGTTCTGGGTTGGGTTCCTGGTTTTACAGCATAATCTCGTATTGGACTATAGCTTCACACTATTAAGACTTACTAGTTCTGGGTTGGGTTCCTGGTTTCACAGCATATGCTCGTATTGGGACCATAGTTTCATACTTTTAAGACTTGCTAGTTCCAGGTATATATATATGGTAAATAAAAACTTCTGATTACACATTTCCAACGATATATATATATATATATA